TGATGAAGAACTTTGTAAAGGCTATGGACAAAACAAAACCAGCTTTCAAATATCTCTATGGAGGGTTTCCAAGACTCAGTGAAGCCAAAATCAATGAAGGCGTCTTCATCGGTACAAAGATTCGAGAACTTCTCCGAGATGACAAGATTGATTGTCTGTTGTGCGGCAAAGAAGGCATGGGAAGCCTTCAAGTCCGTGGCAACAGAGTTTCTCGGGAACAGCAAGGCAGATAACTATGAAAAACACGTGCAAAATTTGCTTAGGTCCTATAAAGCACTTGGTGCAAACATGTCATGGAAAATTCCCTTCTTACACTCGCATTTAGACTATTTCCCTTTGAACTGTAGGGCAGTGAGTGATGAGCATGGGGAGAGATTTCACCAGGATATCGCAGGCATGAAGAAAAGATACCAAGGGAAACGGAGGCTGTGTATGCTTGCCGATTACTGCTGGAATCTCTCCAGGGATGATCCTACTGCAGTTCACAAGAGAAAAGCCAAAAAGCGCAGTTTAAATACCGAATAAAGATGGCACCATTCTCATTGCTATATCACATTTTGCAGGAAAGTTATGGAGCATAATCGCACATCCCCCTCATTATTTTGAATTATTTTGATGCAATTTTGACCTGAAGCTATATCTTGGAAACTGGAGCCAATTAATACTCAGGACTTAATTTTCCTTTATTAGTGACCCAATTCTGGTAAAATATAGCCACTTTCATTTCCAAAGCTTTCTCCTTGTAGACCAGTGTAGTCTGAGAATTGCTTGAGTTTCCATCTAAGCCCCATTATAACAGAAGCTTACTCTGTCTGCTGCACTTTAGTTGTTTCACCAATGCTCCAAGCTGTTAAAAACAATACAAGAGGGAGATTGACACCATATCAAGTGAGCATATTTAGAAATGCAAGAGCAGAATTGACTTCCCTGAAAAATAAAAAAAACCCATCATACCTAAAATCAAATATTGCTTTTTAGAGGACTAACCCTTCATTTTATATTTTGACAAATATTAATAAAAAATAGGGAACCATCACTGAAATTAGAAACCTCAGCTACGTTATAATGACAACCGCAAAAAAGGATGTTGTTAAGAATAGCAGTCTCTCAGCATTGCAGCTGTTTCTCAGCAGATATTCCCGGAGCATTGCATACCAGCTGTCTGTTCTTTTCAAGGTTAGTAGAAATTTTTGAATAAACAGAGGACAGAGCACATCTTTTCATGACTACCCAAGACAACCTTCAGATCAGCTCTATAAATCTTATGGACTTTAATTATAGTCTTGCACTTATAGAATAGAGCATTAAGAGATCACTTGTCTATCAAAACAACTATTAGTAACTTACAACTATTAGTTACTTTCATGATTACACATATATAAATATATCTAGACCTGTACCGAAATTTAGATAATTGTCATTTATATAATGCTATTCTTATTTATGTCATCTGTCATTAAGGGCTTATTGTCCTTAGAAACAACAATGTTGTAAAGGATTACTAACTGAGCTGTTTCCATGAAGATGTTGTTATATCATTCACATTTTAAAGGATCTGAACATTTTTAATATGTTTATGTATGAATGATTAAAAAAAACATAAAAGTTGCAGTTATTATTCAGTGACCCTAAAAGATAAAAGTTGCAGTTATTATTCAGTGACCCTAAAAGAATTTTCATCTTTTTGCAAAAAAAAAACAAGTGTGAAACCCATTTATAGGGGAATAATACCCCATTAACCACCTGTTGGCACCAACCACTCATTTTCTGAGAGGCGCTTAAAGGCAATCAGAGCCACTCTTGCCTTGAAAACCTGTTGATTTTAATTACATGAACTTCATTGGTTTGTTTTGTAAGAGGTTATCTTGTAGCTTATAAAAAGAACTTCTCTGATTGGTATTCTGTACCCGTTCTAAAGTACTGGTGTTGGTTTCTTTCATCAGCAAGATCTGAAGTGTTGGATGTTCTGTTGGAAGTTCCTTTTGACACATCTTTCTGTCTCCTAGTTAGTGGCTATATTTGATATAATTGTAAAAGATGTTCTTCTTTGATATTCCTTAATTTGCTACTTTCATCTGAACACTTTTTGTTTTTAAATGTCTGACTTATAAAAGCGAAAGATTCAGCATTTATATATTTATGAAAAAAAAGTATTTTAGTATGTTTCTTTAATTGCATCTACAAAATATCATTAGTATGTTGGAATATTGAAAGAATCATTTCTTTTTACTCTAAAGAGCTTTTAAAGCTAGACCTCAACCAAACAGCTAAATACACAGAAACAATACAAATAAGGGAGTTATTTTAGCTGCCAAAGGATTTGTATTTCTAGCCTCCTGGTCCCGAGATTTACACAGCCCTGCTACTGAGCACAGTCATGTGGATGAGGGCTTCCAGCCCTGCCCCTCCCCTTTCCCTATCATGAGACGGTCACTTGGTATTGTTTTAATGAAAGCTGCAAATGTTATAATATCAAAAATGGCTTTTAAAATTACATTAACATGTACAATTAACATTCAAACTTCAATGAGATTTTAGGGATTGGGTTTACATTTACTGTAACTAGGGATGAGGTTTGGCCTTGAGTCGACCATGATTTCAACTCAAACGCAAGTAATTAGCGGTTTAATAAAATGGTGAACTAATGCAGCCATTCATGTCCACAGCAACCATTTACCAACAATGCACCTACTGGCCTCTAAACTGTGGTCAGGTGGCTTAGAAGGGCCAATTATGAGGTTTTCTTATGAGACAGCCCCATGCTATAAAGGTTCAATGTGTGTTGATGGTTACATGAAGTAGTTAAGGAAAGTTTAAGGAGTACTTGCAGGGAGAGCTATAATAGGTGCTGCAGCTGATTGCTAAAAAATGTCTATGTTTACACTGAGTCACAGACACACTGTGAGTTGGGCAGCCTTTTACATTTATCAGCAACAACTTCAGTTACTGGTTAGCTGCTGGACTAGCCCCCCCTGTTTTGTTTTTTTTTTGGTGGGGGGACTTTTTAATTTCTTGTTTTCATACATTATTTATCTTTCAGTTACATTTAAAAAGGGGGTTTAGGTAAACCCACTACAAAAGCACAAACTCACTACAAAAGCTTGCTGATGTGGTGCCTAGAGAAAGGGTTTAAAAATTATAATTCTCTACAATTTTGGGGGTTGGGCTTTTTTCAGTGAGCAAAACACACTCTAATGTTGATGTATTTATTAAAAGCTGGCTACTGTGGGACCTGTTAAAGAACAGCCTGGTCAAAGTGTTTAAATACTGTTTACATACACACTATAATATTTTGGTGTTTTTTTCTAGATAAATAAATAGACCTCAATGCTTGATTTGATTGGCTGGTTTGGGTCCTGTTCAAAATTCAATATAATCAAGGTATTTAAAAACTGTGCATGTCCTCAGTACAATATTTTGGGAGCTTTTTTTTTAGCTAAATAAGTACACTCTAATTTTGACCTGAACAGTAGATATAAAAATGGTTGGTGGGGGTACTTAAAATGCACCTTAGCCAAAGTGATTAAATACTGTGCACAAAGTCCCTTCAATATTTTGGAGGCTTTTTAGTGAAAACTGTAATATTGGTTTGTTTGTTTTTCTATTAAAAGCTGTCTGGTGTGGGTTTTGTTGAAAATGCAGCCTAACCTTTTAACTATTTTGTTCTGAAGCAATAAAATGTGATATATTGTTTATTTATATCTTTATGTTGATTAACACACATATTTTCTCTTTTATAGAAATTGTATGTTGCACATTCTAGTCTGAGAAAGCAGACCCTATCTGCAAAATGTGTCACTGTTATAAACCCTTCTTAAAGTATCTCCCCTTCATTCTCTTATTTGTTGGAACCTACACAACACTATCATCTGTTGACTCATATACCTTCTCTGTAAACACATTATAGACATTACTAAGTGGATATGTATGGTAATATAGAGGGAAAGAGTGCAGGGTTTAGCGCAACCAACATCAATATGTGAATTATGATGAAACAACTGTATATGTATTTGCACTCTGTATGTATGTTTTTAAGATGCATGATATTAACACTTTTATTAACCTGTAAATTTGAATAAACTTTAAATTGTTTTTATACGCAATCTAAATTACATTTTCTTAAAGCTTGTAACACTAATTAAAGTCATAACAATGGTGCTAGGGGTTTGATTAAAAAAAATGCAGGTTAGTAAATGCATTGAAATACTGTACAGGTTGCCACTACCATATTTCTTTTTTTCATTCAACAGGGCCAAAATCTACATGCCTTTTAGGTGATTGAGTGGCTTTAGGTGGTCTATCCATTCTGCTTTGGAGCTCACATAGGTTTTCCTCTGTTTTCCAGGCCTGTCTGTAGGTAAATTCTGAAGAGTCAGAGTAGACAAACAATCTATTGCAAGAACATATGTTCACCATTTGTTTTGCTGCATACAGAACTTAAGACATCTCAGTTAATCTTAACCCTTCACTTGGAACCACACTTACTTATTATTTATCATGCTCACACTTCAGAAAAGCTATATTGGTAAAAAGAATGCATAAAAACAGTATTGTTCTAAGTCTTCCCACTACTAGATAAAGTGCTTTCTATTTTCTCAGGGAACATTTTCCTCAATGCAACTGCTTTCTTTAGTGCTCAAAGATGTCATGGTTTTAGTTCTTTTCGATATTACGGAGCATGTCAAACATTTTGGATGTTGGCAAAAGCTTACTTTGTGGTTGGTGTTTTTTTAGTTACTGCATTTAGTCGGCTAGGTGTGAGATAGTTTGCAATTGTTTTGGTTCTTCTGAAAGTGCAGATGGGGTCATGGGCAGTGTTTGCTTCCAATATAGATTGCAACCCAGGATATGCCAGTGAGTCTTCGATAGTCTTTCATTCCTGTATGTTTTCTATTGTATATGGTTATACAATTGAGAAACAAAAAAGCGTAGGGATCAGCACTAAACGGAGACGCCACCCCTAAGTATAAGCATAAATACAAAAAGGAAAGAGAAAGACGGGGCTTTATAGGTGACTCATGAACAATGCGGATAGACATAATGTCACATGTATTGTGTAATTTTGTATAGTAAAATTCATATTTAATAACATAGTGCCATGATTGGCAGAAATTAGCACATACAGGACATACCACACATTTAAAAACAGGACCATGCAATATATAAACAACATGTCACCTCTAGGAATCCGTACAAATTCATATTGTGCAAACTAGCAATAATTAGCATTCTTGATTTCATAATAAATACATAATAAATTAGATCAGTCAATGTATAATTTTTCAGATCAGTCAATATATTGATGATATATAGTTTCATATTGTTAAGTATTCCAATCAAGAATCTGTACGTTTCCATTCTTCTACGCGTTTCACTAAAAAGCTTCCTCAGGAAGATAAGAGGCTGCCTGTAATATTTAAGTATCAAAAATGTAACTATGTATGGCTATCCTAAAGTTAACAGAATCATTTTATTCCACATATTGAACATACAATAAATAATGAAAAAACATAACCTTTATTAAGGGTCTTAGTGGTGAACCGGTCCGCAGCTTCAGTAGGCCAGCATCCACCGCACAGAGGACATGGGGAATGAGGGACGCATAGGGGCGATAGGGACGGGAGGCTAGTTTCCGTCCGTCCATACTGCAAATTATAATGAGATAATATGTTGTATACATACAACACTGGGACTCATCACACATGATTCACATTCTCTATGAATATAAGTATAAATGTATAAATATATAAATAACCTTGTCTAAAACAAATGGTAGTATCCTTGTATGGTTATACAATGTATATTGTATTTTGAAGTAGTCTCATCGGTATTCAGTCTCTGGAGTAATAAGGATTTTCTATTAATGTTTCCAGGTTTACCGCATGAGTTCTGGATGAGCGTTTAGGGTGTAGTGTTTATCTTTTAATTTTTTTGTTAGTGCAGAGGACTGCTTGTCAAAATCCTATAACACTGGCAAGTGTTTAATCATTTCTGGAATTGGCTGCAGCGTATATTAGATTTCCAGTTTTTTTCGTGACTGCTCCTGAAGGTAATGGAACTGTTGGCATCCACTTTCTTAAATGATGTTCTTGTAGCTATAAAAAGAACGTATGTAGAGTTGGAGGTCAAGAACATTCATACTGCATGGATCTGTCTGGCTGGTGAACGTAAGTGGACCTTCATTATTATTGAGGTAAACAATTAATTCTGAAATAAGTTTTGGATCTCCTTCCCTGATCAGAGGTATGTGTGGTAGAACTTCGTACCCATAACTGTGCCTTTGTGTTGAATGTAATAGTGTAGGTCAAAGAGGAATGCATAATCGTATAGTTAGAATTAATTCAGTACTTTCTAGGATGAAGGTCTGTTGCTTTTGTGGCATGAACGGGTCAGTGGGAGAGATAGTAGGAAACTGCTCTAAGGCCTAATTCATTTACAAAGATGTGATGTCCAGAGTCACTCAGTGGTAAGAGTTTTTCCACTGTACCTTGGTTAGTAAACTGGGTAAATGAAAGGAACCCAATAGGTAGGATGGAATATTGCTCAGACGTTTCACCACTAGTACATGCAGACAATGTTTTTATTCTCACTAGAAGAAGGCTCGGCAAATCTTCTGTGCATCACAGTGTTTTACTACTGTAGCTCTCAGCATTGTTGTGTCTTTTTCAATGATTTTGTCATACAGTGACTGACAGGCATTTGATAATTGATTGTTAGTTCTAGCTCTTAAGCAATTCTTATTATACTTCTAATTTTCTTTAACTGTACAAGGTGACTTTGCTGTACAGCAGATTTCAGGCAATATCTGTTTTGAGGGTCTGCTAGTTACTAGAAGTGACAGCAAAGAAATTGGAAGTGACAGGAAACACTTAGAAAATTCAAGAACATTTTCTCGGTTGCCTTGTTTATTCTTTAAAAGCCCTGAGCTCTGAAGATCGCAGCACATATACTTTTGTATATATTGCTGTAAGCTGTTGAATGCTAAATGAATTATGTTATTTCTAACAAATAATAACTAAAAATATTATTTCTGCAGAGTGTGTTTAGTCAGATTCATACATGCAGTCTCCGACACACGTATCCATCACTGTTAGGGGTAGGAGTAGCAGTCAATCTATGTAGATTAAAATAATTTTTCCATTATATATACTGGTATAGATATTGGTGATTTGTTTACAATCTTAAAATGGTCTAGAGGCTAAGATCATATTTTTTTCTCCGGGTGTAAAACAGAACATGTGTAATCTCTTTTTCTCACTTAAAAGAAGAAGTATGGGGAAAGTGAAACACACTCTACCCAATACATAGGGTTCTATTCACTAAGCTGCCGTAGGCAGCCGAGTGAAAGAGCGACCTGAAGTGAAGTGAGCCGAACGCTGTTCGGCTATTCACTTCAGGCTGGTGCGGCTGATTTCAGCCGTACATCGGGCGGCTTCACGTGGCTTCGGGTCGGCCGAACATGCTCTGCATGTTCGGCCAACCTGAAGTGCAGGAGGAGTTCGACTCCGGCAGGCTTCTCACTGCTGTTCGGGCTATTCTTAAAGATGCCGAACAGCAGTGAGTGAATAGCCAAATGGCGCCGAGCGGCATTCGGCTCGGCTGTTCTGCTCGGTCCCTCAGAGGGACTGAGCAGAACAGAAAAATAAAAATAAATAGATAACGATTGTGCGGAGCTAGCAACAACAGCTAGCTCCACCCAATAGTTTTCTATTGGCCGGCGGTTCTGCTGTGGGAGTCTCCCGCTCCCGGCCGCCCAGGAGAGAAACACTGATTTTTCTCTTTTTCTTTTTTCTTTTTTTCTTCTTTATTCTGACACGGAGTCGTGTCAGAATAGGAAAAAAATAATTAAAATGTTGCCCATAGGATTGCTTTGCTAGATTCCTATTGGCTATTTCAATTTGCAATAGCCAATAGTAAACTAGCATTGCACCCGCCCTCTGCTGCAGTTCTCCATCAGGTCCATCAGCAGAGGGCGGGTGCAATGCTAGTTTACTATTGGCTATTGCAAATTGAAATAGCCAATAGGAATCTAGCAATGCAATCCTATGGGCAAATTTTTTTTTGGGCGTGTTGTCTCGAGTACTTCGTACGCGTACATAAGCAAGAACGGGAACAAATACTGTATGGAAAAACAAGGAGGAGAGTTTACAAGAACCACATAGAAACAAAGACACAGTTAAAATGGTCACGAAGTACTCGAGACAACACGCCAAAATAAGAGAATGTCTAGGACGCCATTGGCATCTTCTCACAAGTGATGATACAATTAAGAAATACGTAAAGGATACCCCAGAGCTGGTGTTCAGAAGAGCAAAATCGATGAGGGACAGACTGACACACAGCCTGTATGTATCCCAAGCGGAAACTGTGGAGTGTGGAGAGCTAGGTCTTCGGAAGTGTGGGAGATGTAAATACTGCTGTTTTATCGCAGAAGGAACCATGATTCCCCTACCAAACAACGAGAAACAATGGCGATTAAAACATTTGGTGACGTGCCAAACGAATAATGTAATCTACATGATGAGTTGTGTCTGTGGAGCACATTATGTGGGAAAGACGTTTCGAAAACTATGGAATAGGATATATGACCACATATATCTAATAAAAAACGGTAAACTCACCACTCCCATTAGTCGGCACATAGGACTTCACCACAACTTTAATCTAGAGGCCATTAAATTCTATGTTCTGGATCACGTTCATGAAGAGAGAAGAGGCGGAGATATAAACAAAAAACTATTACAGTCGGAAGCACGATGGATTTTTAAATTAAAATCCACCATCTACCCGGGTCTGAACGAGACACTTAGCTACAAGTCGTTCTTATGAACGAAAGCAAGAAGAAATTTTCCCTATGGATATGGACAGCACAACAACAAGAACCAATTGAAATTAAGCATAAAATATAACTAACAAATCAAGATGAGATATGGAACTACTTACAGTGATTACCAACCAAAACTTACTCCAAGAACAAACATTTAGAACATTAGTACTGACAGAACCTTTTTCCAACTGATATATATAGCCTAATAGGCAATCTGATCTAGAATTAAAGTTCGGACAAACAATCATGTTTTAATAAAACTTAGCATGATAGTTTCCTATTAAAAAAAACAAACAAAAAAACATCTAGATAGAGAGCATGTAATTACTAGAAGAAAATGTGACTTGGGAGAAAAACCCCACAGTAGGAACTGTATTGTATTTAAGAATTGATGATGGTCTATATGCTCTCAATACATGCATATAGTCGTTTATATCGGGAATGCAACTCAGCTGCTATATACTATCAAAAAACATAGAATGTTGGATACAGATGTATATACTGCTGACATGCCTGGCTGATATTAATGTGATATGGGGGAGAACTGGTCACATTCTGGGACCTCGAGATTCCTAAAAGAACGACCTCTCATTACCCTTTCCCATTATCTCTATATAGAACCAAAATCGGAATAGAACTAACTATTAGACCCTAGGCATAGACCCTAGATACAAAAAGGGTTAAAGATTTTTGGGCTTTCTGGACACTTCTCCTGCATATCGCAAATCAGCCCTGCATGCTGAGTAGTGGAGACACAGATATCCCCAAAACAACTTTATATGAAGTATCTGCTCCAGATGGAGCTACATATGGCAATATGACATTGTATGAATTATAGATGTAGATATATGAATTGAGGAATGTCGGTCTAAATGAAGACAATTTTCTTAAACAATAGGTCCATCTTCAGTGGGTCCCCTGATGAAGCCAATGGCGAAACGCGTCGGGGCCTATTAAGATAAGCTACGCCTAGGACAATATGTTGTTATACATGAATGTAACCACACTTGGATAATAATGAATAATTTCCTGATATGTTGGACCATATGAATTTCAGTAACATATAAGCCATGTATTTATGAACATATCCTCTGCAGGGATCTGTTTTATTCTAATGTGTTTGTCTTCAATCATGAATGTATCAATATTTAATACAATAAATTTTGAACTTTTATTTTAACATA